AGACTTCACTAAACCCTAAACCCTAAACCCTAAACCCTAAACCCTAAACCCTAAACCCTAAAACCCTAAACCCTAAACCCTAAACCCTAAAACCCTAAACCCTAAACCCTAAACCTTAAACCCTAAACCCTGAGAAGGCTATGCCTTCGTGAACCTGGTGGACAACAGCGCAGTAAAGGACCTTTGGGAAGCCTTCGACGGCTTCGTGGGTTGGTCTTTGCCGTCGGCAAAGGTCTGCCAGGCAGGATCTTGGCACTGACATGATGTGACGACATTCTACACTCTTAGCTCTGAGAAACCCTCGGCCCCTGCACCCGAAACCCTAAATCCTAAACCCTAAACCCTAAACCCTAAACGAATAAATACCAAACCTTACAAGTCCGAAAGGTTCGCTGGAGCGGCCCACATCAGGGCTTTGAGGCCCAGGTTTTAGGGTTTAGGGTTTAGGGGGTACGGCGCCTTGTCTTGTGGCCCTGTTTTGCAAGTGTCCTGTAAGGGTTGTATCTTACCCCTTGTTTGGGTTCGGGTTGTGAGTGTAGAGTTTAGGTGTAAGGATTTATGTAGGGGTGTTTGGGCGTAGGGTTTAGGGTATGTTTGATTTCAGGGGGTTTGTTCCGGGTTGAAGGTGCAAGTTTGGGTTTTGAGTTTAAGGGCCTAAACCCTAAATCCTAAACCCTAAACCCTAAACCCTAAAACCCTAAAGCCCTAAACCGTAACTCAATAGCACCGATTTGATTACACCCGAGGGTTGCCAAGAGGGTTGACGGTTGGGGCGGTTCGGGTGCAGGCCTTACGGCTGAGTTTGGGGTCAAAGTTAGGTTGGGGGCCCCAAGGGGCTATTTAACGGAGTCCGTATGGCCCTTAATAGTGGGTATTTAGGGTATATAGGAGGGTGGGGGATGAATTTGGGGGTCTACTTACATGCCAATACTATGCTTTAGAGAATCCACTGATTGTAATGGAATTATACAATGAGACCCGAAAGTCTTGTTCCAAGTATCAGGACGCCATATTAAACACCGTATAAAACCCGTTCCACACCGCGGTACGTTGGCTTTCATGGTTTAGGTTAGGGCGTGGGGTTTCATGCTCAGGAGTTTGCCATCAGAACAGAGAAACGCAGGTCAGTAGTGAGAAAGAAGTCAACGCAATGTAGCGCAAGGTGGAATGAGGTCGGGTTTTGGAGGGTTATGGGTGCAAGGACGGTTGTTCAGTAGGGTCTCGGGCGATATTTGGAACTCAGAACTCGGGTTTTGGCGTAGGATATACTATGGTAATGGTTTTTGGGTTTAGGGTCTAGAGTTTAGGGACTTGGGTTTTGGCGTAGGTTATAGCATGATACAGTAGACTGATATACGGACTAGTATGAAACAGTTCCGGTGACGTCAACTCAGACCAGGAGATGTGAGGTGAAGTGCGGCGAGGTGAGGAAACTGGTAGGGTCAGGGGCGAGGCTGAGGGAAGGTAAAGGCCATGCGGTTTAGGGTTTAGGGTTTGGGGTTTAGGGTTTGGGGTTTAGGGTTTGGGGTATAGGGTTTCGGGTTTAGGGTTTAGGGTTCAGGGGTTTAGGGTTTAGGGTTTAGGGGTTTGGTAAGGCAAGGCAAGCAAAGAAGGGTCAAGGCATAGCCGGGTATTCCGGGCTGCTTGGTAGGCGGTTCACATGTCCACGTGCATCTTGAGTTCAAGAACACGGCAAGAATTATTTGGGCTCCAGAACCTAAAAGCATCACATCATCGGCACTCTGAAACCCCAAGCCCTAAACCCAAAGCCCCGCACAGGCGCATGTGGAGCGCTATCGGAACAGCCCGGTGATGCACCGGAGTGTGCCGGATCAGTACAAGCCGGTGATTTTCAACGATGGCGTGCGAAAGCCGTTCCCCCGGTCCACGAAGAAGGTCAAAGCACCGACTGCAGGGGTCTTCTGAGTCTTCGTCGGTCCTGCATGAAGGTCTCTGCAGCATGTCCAAGCCTGTACAGCAGCTCTCTTATCATGGACTGCTGTGGTCTGCGACCCTCTTTTCCGTCAGTTTCTCTCAGAAGGAGCTATGTTGTACAGAGCAATGAATGTTCCAGCAAGAATTGTACAGGAGGCGGCCTAAGCCTCATCGCCCAAGTTTGTCCAGCAGAGCCTCGCTTCCAGGAGCAGCTCTTGTAAGCTCACCTGGGTGGTTGTCAAAATTATGGTCCCGTTTTGGGTCCTTATTATACTACGGCACCTATTATTTAGGGTACCCCAACAGGGACCATAATTTTGACAACTACCCACATGGATAGAGTCGACTCTGCTCTCAAGCCCTGTGCTAAGACTTTAACTCTAAGCTACGGCAGGTCTACTGTAGGTTCATGGGTAGTTGCCAGTAGGGTTGGGTTGAACCATGTCGTCTTACCTGTAGTTGCTTGCGCTCACTTCTGCACTCCTGCATCACTTTCTATGACACCCCACGACAAGCTAGCAAACTTCTAGAGCCCCTAGAACCTCTGGCTTGTACCTGCCCAGCATAAGAAAGTTACACGAAGCCACTTGTTACCACTAAAGAAGTTTCAGGAACGGGCAGCGTGCTGTCAGATCCCGCAGCTATGGCACCAAATCCCGACAGACTTGCAGCACTTCAAATTCGGGTTATGATCAACTGCTTATGTTAGTGCTATCAGCATCATGCTTGTTACCGTTACGGTAATAAAATGGTTCCAGAAGTTACCATGGTAGGTCTGGTTTTCGAGATGACTGTGAGCACTTTCTTGATTCTCATCTCTGATGCCTGGGACACAAATTCTTGTTGCTTCGATTGCGGTCCTAAACCCTAAACCCTAAACCCTATGTTGCTTCGACTGTGGTCATCATCAGTTGTAGTAGCATGAAGATTGGCAGTCTTGCCTACTGCTGTCCCCATTGCACCCCGAAATGAGCCTAGCAACCCTAACAAAACCAGATGGACACCGTAAACCCTAAACCCGTAAGCCCCCTAAACCCCTAAACCCTAAACCCCTAAACCCAAAACCCCCGATGCACCGTTCTTGGCCTAAAGCCTACAAGGCTGACCCTCGAGACCATGTCCTCAGCGTTGTGCAAAGCCAACGGCAGCTTGACTTGACTTTAGGGTTTAGGGTTCAGGGTTCAGGGTTCAGGGTTCAGGGTTAAGGGTTTAGGGTTTGGGTCAACCGCAGGCCACTCGGTCAGGGTTCATTGCTCTAAGCCCGTAGCTTAAGCCCTAAGCCCGCAATCCGAACCAACAAATCCGAAATCCCAGACCCTAAACTCTAAACCCTAAACTCAAAACCCTAAACCCTAAACTCAAGGTACATCCTAGGTAGTATTTGGGAGACCCCTTGAAGGGGACCCTTTTTGACCGCACTCATGGCTCTCTTAAAAAAGAGGCCTTTTCGAGAGGGTCCATATCCCCAAGGCTCCCCTAATCGAAACTTCTAGGGTGTCAGGGTTTAGGGGTTTAAGGGCTTAGGGGTTTAGGGTTTAAGGGTTTAGGTTTAGGGCTTAAGGGTCTAGGGGTTTCAGGGTTTCAGGGTTTCGGGGTTTAAGGGTAGCCTGCTTGATGCCCAAACCATAAATTCTAAACCCCAACCTCGATGCACCCGACTTTCGACTAATCCCTAATCCCCTAAACTTAAACCCCAAAACCCAGCAAGCGGCAATTTTAGAACAATACCCCTAAACCCTAAACCCTAAATTCCCTAAGCCCTAAACCCTAAACCCCCAACCCTAAATTCCCTAAGCCCTAAAGCCTGAACCCCAAACCCTAAATTCCCTAAACCCTAAACCCCTAAACCCAAAACCCTAAACCCTAAATGCCCTAAGCTCTAAAGCCTGAACCCCAAACCCTAAATTCCCTAAACCCTAAACCCCTAAACCCTAAACCCTAAACCCCTACACCCTAAACCCTAAACCCGAAATTCCCTAAGCCCTAAAGCCTGAACACCAAACCCGAAATTCCCTAAACCCTAAACCCCTAAACCCTAAACCCTAAATTCCCTAAACCCTAAAGCATAATTCCTAAACCCTAAACCCTAAACCCTAAAGCCTGAACCCCGAAACCGCTAAACCCTAAACCCCTAAACGCCTAAACCCCTAAACCCTAAACTTTAGGAGAGGTTGGAACGCTAAAGCTTCGGCGAAACTGAGGACCACACACCTTCGCACACGACTCTGACAATTATAAA